ATATTTTAATTTTTTTAGCTCATAATAATAATAATAATTTATTATTTTGTAACATAATTTAGATAGTAAATAATAATAATAATGACACCGCCGCGTGCAGCACAAGACAACAATCATATCTCTAAGCCCAGCTGTCCTCATCCGATCTGAGTACAACAAAAGAAAATAAACCAGAGTTGGTTTTATAGGCTCTTTAATTTGAAAAAAAAAATAAAAGAAAAGAAAAGAAATGAGTCTTTTAACTAATTAATTAAATTATACAATAATACTTTTAAATATTATAATTTAATTTATTAAAAAATTCATCTCTTCATCCGTCTTCTTTTTATTTTTCTCAAACTAAACAAACTAAAGATACCTTTACTGCTTGTTTTTAAAATAAAATAAAATAAAACGCAGCAAGCTTGGGCCTGCATTTGTGTTTACAACTTTGCGTGGGCCGAGGACACTACAGAGTCAGACTACACTACAAATGCAACCTAGTTCGGATGGTCGTGCCTTTATAGGCTTGTCGAACCTAAAAACGAACAAACAAACAAACAGACGAAGTTTTTGGTTGGGGACTGGAAAAAGTCTGAGTGTTTTTTTTTTTTTTTACAAAAAAAAATAATAGTTAAAAGTTAGTATCTATTTAGTAAGCGCGAAAACTCAAACTTGGGTGAACTCCACCTGCTCCTTGTGAAGAAACGCGGCCCAACCAGTGGATCGCATGAGGGAGTTCTGAGTGTTTAAATTTATTGAGATGTCAATTTTGCATTGGCTACGGATATGATATCAAACCTGAGACATGGTCCATCCATTGCACTGAAGACTTTCTTAGGAACTGTGAAGAGCCTGAGATGACTAACAAGTAACATCCAACCAGGATCTAAACCTGTTTAGTTGATTTTTTTATGCATTAACATCATAAGATCTCTTATCATGTCTAGGAAAACGCCAGAATTAAAGCACGGTACTTGAATCCATAGCTAACCTGCAAGTTTGATTCAGTCATACATGATATATAATACAGTGCACAACGTAGGGGAACTTAGCATTGACCTTAATTCCGAATGGTGTCTGTCTGATTCACTAGCTGCAGCCTTTGATGTGCATATAATTTTCGCAAATTGTGGCCCTTAATTCCATTTCTGAACCAAACACTTGAACTAGACTTCACTGTTTCACATATTGGAGACTGTTTTTGGCTCCTCAATTTTTTTCTTGCTCAAGAACTACGCTGCTTGCACCTGGACTGGCCTGACCAAATAGAAACATTTGAGATTTGCAAGCAAATAACATGCAAATCCTACTTTTTATTTACATAATCAGAGTATCCAGAGAGCCAATAAAAACTACATAAACATGGGCTCTAGCAATAATGCATTTTAAGTTATAACTCATAATAACTACGTACTATTAATATATATTAAGTTTTTAGTTTCCAAACCACTCAAAACCCATCAAATGAAAATGAACTTAAGGAACAGCCTAACCAAAGGAATGACAAGTAGCAAGGTCATTACGTTTTCTCTCTTGCAAATATGAACTTTGCACGACAATGAAAACTACTATTACGTATCAGCCATAACCTTATTACTGCAACATAGTATTATAGCCAAATTGGTTTTCCCTAACAGACAAAATCTTTGGCTTGGTTGTCGAGCCAAAATTTTCTGTAAGCATTAGTCAGCAGCAAGAAAGTACCATTTACACCCATAATACTTGTTTAGAATTACTACCTACCAGGACAATCACACTTGACAATAAACTATCAATGGAACTAACATAATTTTATGATGAACCAGAGTGCGAAGATGCTGATACTAGTGCATGATTCTTGACTTTGTTTATTTTTTCAGCTGCTAGCAAATTTTCAAACACTTAATCTGTCATGCCATCTGCAATATCATTCTTCCAAAGGCATGATAGCGCATT